ATAGTCAAAGTTGCGCGTTGGCAAACGTGAAAGTCAAACTGTTGCAACTTTTATGAAACGTAGATAGTATTTTATATCTCGCCTCCTGCTTCACTTATACTCCCTCCGTCCCGGAATTATCTTCATACTTTCCTTTTCGGTCTGTCCCAAATTTATCTACTCTTTCTCTTTTTAGCAAAGAATTTTTGGTTCACAATCATTCTTACACATTCTTACACATTTCTCTTTCCTCTGCACAACTCTCTACCACACATTTCACACTATCTTAATCTGTGTGGCATTTGTACTGCAGGAGATAAATATGGGACGGATTGAGTAATAATGTACTCCCTCCGTCCCTTATAACTTTGCCAACTTTCCTTTTTCGGTTGTCCCAAAAACTTTGACACTTTCCCTTTTAATCAATCAATTTGTGGCTCCTGTTATTTCTCTCTCCTCTTCACAAATCTCTACCGCACAGTTTTTACTTTATTATTCTACGTGCTGGTCAAACTTGGCAATCCTTTTAGGGACGAAGGGAGTAATATATAATATAGTATTCATGCACATACGGTTATGATGTATGAATATTACGCGCATACGTACATGACATTAATTTAATATAATGTTTGTAGATTTCCGACATGCAAGCTATCCATTTTAAGAAGCCAAGTTGCAGTTACAGAAAGAGTGTGTTCGACGATGGGAAGTAATGTAGCCATCACAACGCATGCACACACCAGTCCGTACAGATCACATCTCGATCAGCTCTTTCAAATTGCAATATAAAATAATTAAGTTGGGCTAAATAATGGTTAATTACATTAACCATAAAATAACAGCTTTAATTTGCTCATCCCACAACTTTTGGAGTAGATTATACGAGAGAAAAAGACAGTACGTTGAGTTCAATTGAAGGCAATGTATATATATATATATGATATTTTAATGATTAGAATCAATAATCACAAACTTAAATCAATCCCCATAAAAGGTCATTTGCATGTGCAATACACATGTCTCTACCGGTTAGTTGCTCGATACATGTTTCTAAAAACATACGAAATTTACCCTTAAAAGTAATATTTGATTTCATGGTTAAGATTTAAGAACATTTATATATCTCAACTTACTCATGATCACTTACTATCTTCTTTTGATTTTTCTTTTAATTACTTTTTGTAGTAAGATTATAAGAGCAAATTCAATATAAAATAATACTAGTACTCCGTATATAGTATATACTCCCTCCGTCCTGTTGGAATGTTCCCGGTTTGACCTACACACATATTAAGGAAATAAACTTACCAGGGGGTAAATTGTACTGTTTTGACACTGTTTCGACACTGTTTGACACTATTTCGACACTGTTTTGCACTGTTTGACCATGTTTTGATGTAGGATAACTTTCCATTTAGGGAAATGTGAACTTTCCAACGGGACATCCAAAAAAGGAAAGCGGGAACATTCCAACGGGACGGAGGGAGTATGTCTTATTTAATGAGTCAAACAGGGCCGGTCCTGTCAAGTTTTGGGCCTATGAGGGATACACTATCTTGGCCTTATTTCCAAGATAGACAGTAAATTATACTTATTTTTTATCATTAAATTATACTTACTTAAAATAAGAATTATGAAGTATAATAAATATATGAGAAATCATTCTAAATAGGACTAAAAACGTTTTTGTATTCCAAAATAAGAATATCGTGTTTTATTTTCTAAATACGAGTAATTACTGTCATGTTTTGAGATCAGATTGGAGTATCTTAGCTTATGCATGGTTCTCCCTTGAGTTTCATCAAAACCATTTTTGGGATCAGATTGGAGTACGTTATGTATGGTACTCCCTTAGCTTTCACCCCCCCCCCCCCCCCCCCCCCCCCAAAAAAAATGGGATCAGATTGGAGTACCTTATGCATGGTATTTCCTTAGCTTTCACTAAAATCATTTTTGGGGTCAAATTGGAGTACCTTATGCATAGTACTCCCTTAGCTTTCATTAAAAACATTTTTTGGGTCAGATCGGAGTACCTTATGCATAATATTCCTTTAGGGTGTGTTTGGGAGTTAGGTTTTGGAGGGGAGTAGGAGGTTGATGGGGGTTTATAATCTTCTTTTTCATGTTTGGGAGTTTATATCATTGGAGGGATGGTTTTGGAGAGCTTTCATGACCCTCCAAAACCCTCTGAATGCTCGATTTTTAAGATCCTCCAATTTGGAGAGTTTTGAAAGATAATTAATGAAATTAAATGGTAATTTAAGTTCAATTAAAAATAAGTATGAGTTCAATTATTTAAATTCATCATATATATCTCAAAGTGATTTTTATTATAACTCATTCAAAAACTCATTTCTTCCAAATTTATCACTCCCAAATACAAAGAAGGGTTTCCTCACTCTTCCCTCCCTTTCCTCTTCAACAACATACCTCTAAAGCCTTACACTCTCCTTCCCTCCGAACTCCCAAGCATACCCTTAGCTTTCACCAAACACATTTTTTGGATTAGATTGAAGTATCTTATGCATGGTACTCCCTTAGCTTTCACCAAAACTAGTACTACTACGTACGTAATAAATAAATGAGGATATCAGGACATGCTTTGGAGAAGAAAAGAAAAATTAGAAAAACAAAGACTATTTTAAATATAAAATTAAATAAAGACGCTTTTAGTGTGTATTATATTGATTGGGGAATTGAAGCTTACTAATATAATAATCTCGTTGTCTAATATGTCTATATTCCTCCCAAAAGGGATATCTTAAGTGACACTCGAAGATGAATAAGTGACGAAACGTGTGCGTATCTAACTATCTTAATTAATGGAAATTGATTCTCTTTTGTTGGGAGTCCAAAGACCGAGTCGTTGAAGTCCTCTCTCTTCTACCTTTAGGTTATATATATATATATATATATATACACGTAGTACGAAGTATATATTATTGGACCCAATTTTTATATTAAGATTCCATCCATATTTCATTATCTGAAAAATATAGTGAAATTTCAAATTTTAATCTTTCTAATATAAATTCCTTAAGTATAGTCTCCCTGACCTATCATTTTATATGCACAAGGAACATACTCCTTATGATTTATTAAAGTCAAACTCGTGGTAAATTTATCACATTTACCCATTTGTTTGACTATTAGTATGTAGATGAAATTTGGTATGAGTGAATTAGAATTCATGAAGAATATGTTCAAAAGTTTTAATCAAAAAAATCTAAAGGACAGGATTTTGAGGGCTCGACCGGACGGCGTGTCCTGTCAAGCCGCTGGCCTGAGGAACGCCACTCTACTATGTAACTCTACTTTGATTAAACTTTAATAAACGTTGGATATATGCCTCGCAAAGAACCCTCTTTTAGCTCCAAATTAAACTTGAACCACATATTTAGGATAACGTTTTCCTAGCTATAATCTTAAAATTTTTAATTGTTTCAAGGAATCGGCGTAAGTTGGGAATGGCTGAGTTGGTGATCTCATAATAAGTAGATCGACGCCGTCCAAACGTCACATGCGATGACGTGTCCTTATTACGAGGATGTGTGGTGTATATATATAGATGGAGATCTAAGTCCCCAACACCTTCATTATTTTCGGAATGTTGAATTCTGCGGCTCAACGCGTACGTACAATTTCCGGTACGTATATGGCCGCTATGTTTGCTAAAAGGCAAACTATTGTTTGTGAAATAAAGAGAGTTTTTTTTTTTAAATATTATTTGATAGCAAAGATTGACAAAATATATATAGGAGTAAAAACAAGAGTTTTGACATTATTAATACGGAGTATTAAAAGCAAAATTATGAAAAGAGTGGAACACTTTTCATATTTTATCTTTACCGATATGGGCATTACACCTGAGCTCACGAGGCCCAATGGATCACAACGTATCCACTTATGGGCCAAGTTGGTAGAGGAGGCTTTGATACGTAACCAATTCGTTCATACCGGTTCACCCACAAAGACGGTGGTGAATATAATGTCTCCTGACCGTCGCTGTCAACAGAGTGGGTTGCTCTCAATTCCGACGTGTTTGTTATTCATGAGACTGGACTAGCAGCCGCGAGAGGCTTGTTCCGTGACTACGATGGCGTTGTTCAGCAGCCTATTCCATGAATTGTAATATAATTGTTAAAATATAAGTTAAAATATGATTAAGAATTTCCGTAAACATGTAATACATTTTCAAAACCTACGACCTGTGATTAAGGATGTTTTTAATTGGACTGAAATTTTCTGGTATGGTTTAATTTGATCTGATATGAATTGATCTGCTCTGAACTAGTAAATGTCTAGTCTCTGTTTATTTTATTATTGTAGGACCGTAGTACTTTAAATTACAGAGTATTATAGGCTGATAATATTGCATTCAAAACGATGTACAGTACTTCTCTCGTGTCCAAAAACCATAATCCAATGTTGCTGCTAATTTTATTTTCTAATTTTTACTCCGTATTACTCCTTCCATCCTAATTTGATGATCCTGTTGCGGTTTACGAGACTTGACCGACGATAAAACAAATGAATCCCTGTTCCCACTCAAATTATTTGTAGCAAATAAAATTTACATATTCAGAAACTACATTTAAGTTTTACAAGTCGCAAAAACCTGTATCAAATTTGATATAAAAAGTAAGTGATTAAGAGTGATTTGTGTTGATCAAGTGAATGTAAACTAGAACCATCAAATTGGGACGGATGTAGTATAAAATGAAATTAATTACATAAGGATATATGTGGCCAAATCTATTTAGTCTAAACAGTCATGATTTACCAAAATCTACTTGCAATAACAGAACATTTAGGGATAAAAGTAGACAATTTCAAACTAGATAAAATAAATGGTACAAAAGACACATGGAAAGCTCTCGTCTCCTTCCTAGCTATATTATTATCTACACGGTTTATACCTACATCATATAAGGCTAACAGTTTAGGCCCCACCACTTCTCAAGTCTGACCATTATTACTCTTTCCCTATCTATATAAATACCACATGCAAGTATGGTCAAATGCAATCCAACTTCAATTCATTTATTGGTATACGTACGCTAGCTTCACTAACTTAAAAGAAGCAAAGCTAAGCAAAACAAGAAGGGAAACAAATGGCAAAGTGGTCATCATCCTCAACATCTAGGACAAATGGGAAACAAGAGAAGAATGGGAAGAAACTTCAGATAGTGATAGAAAAGCTCCAAAGGAGTCTTCTTCTAAGGAAGCGGTCACCACCAGCGTTGCCACGCCTCCGTCCTCTCGACGGGTCGGAGAGCTCGAGAGGCGTGCCTGATGACGTTAAAGAAGGGCATTTTGTGGTAATGGCAATCGGTGATGACGAGAAGCTAAAGAGGTTCGTGGTTCCATTGAGTTGTCTAACGCACCCATCGTTCGTTAGGCTATTGGATCAAGCCGCGGAGGAGTATGGGTTCGAGCATGAAGGGGCTATCGTTGTGCCTTGTAAGCCAAGCGAGCTAGAGAAGATTATTCAAGATCATCAATGGCTGGAAAAGCTCTTAGCTCTTAACTAGCTATTACAACTATTGGATTAATTAAGCTAGGATAGCATTTGAGAGATTCAACATTTGATCCGATCCGTGACGATGTTTTTTTTCAAATTACGAAATGTGTAACGTAATTTGTTTCGGATTTAGGGTTTTTGCCATTCACTCCACTATTTATTTGTGCTACCGAATATTTAAATCAATAAAGAAATTATTCATCAATTCAAGCTCTACCTTTATGTTTGTCTTTGTTTTTGTAATGCGTGTAGACGTTATAATAATCTCTTGATGTCCGGTTTCGTTTTTTTTGAGAATATTACGATAAAAAGATTTGAAAATTCCAAAATAGGACTGTCCCCATATTTTTATTCCCAAAATAGGACTAATTACAGGGATGCTTTGACAGTACCAGACTTCAAACATGGCAGTATTTTCTAAACTTAGTAGTAATTACTCCTATTTTGGGAATAAAAAACATGACATTGCTATTTTACAATTTTCAAACTATTTTAGTCATATTTCGTGAACTTTCCTTTTTTTGCTTCGCACCGTTAGTAATGTGATCTATCACTCCGTTTATATTCACCAGTATTTTGAAATAATGGAGTAGCTAGGTTTCTTTTATTTGCATAGTACAATAATGACTAATATACGAAGTCCAACTGTACAACGGTCTACATGCGTACTTTTATGGTATGTACAAAACGTACCCAATTTTATAATTATAAATGTACAATTGTTTTGCACATTGCATTTGTGGTATACATTCATAGGTGACATTAGACTTCAACATCTCATTTGTCATCATTCAATAAGCACTAACTTAACAATTAGGAATGTATTTATGTAAACCATTGATTAAAAGTTGTACTAAACCCTAAAAATAACAAGCTTTAATACGGTAGTTTGGTTATAGCAAAACTTGGATGTATAGAATAAAATGAGTTGCATTTACCAATGAATTATGATAGGGCCATAGCAGCCTGGATAAAGTGGGAGAGAGTGAGTGTTTTTAGAGAATGTATATCATATTAGAGACATGTTAATGAGTTGTATCATGGAAATTAAAATCAGTATACATATCTCAACTACTAATATTCTTCCAATATTAATGAGAAATATATATAGTTTGCTTCACTATAATTTGAGGTTCTTTTTTCTTTCCAATTTTTCATTGTTATTATTCATATCATGCTTACTATTTTGAGCTCAAAATAATATATCTCACATCGTTTTCATTTATGTGCCTCATTTTTATGCTGAGAAAGTTCCATAAATAAGAGTAAGACATAATACATTTTTCAAATACGAGTATAATTATTTTATTTCCAAATTAAAACTCGGCGACTCCTATTTTAGGCAAAAAAAGGAATTTTTTTAATTGAACTAAACAACTCTAGTGCAGTTGGTATACCGTATGACCGGTATACGGTGAGCTATACCGGCATACGTTTTTTGGCAAGCAGAGTATTGAATTCATTGTTTTTTATTTCTCTTTTTAAAAAAAATGGTAATAACTTTTTTATTTTTGATCCGATTTTTATAAAATTTATATCAACATTTTTTATTTTTCATGATCTTTCAAATGAGATCAATATTGCCTATGTATTTTAACATATTAACATTTGCGTGTAAAATATGTAACATTACGTGTTAAAATATGTAACTCACGTTCAGTCAGGCCAAATGCAACTCGTGTGTATAAATGTGTATCTCTACGTGTAACAATATGTAGCTTTACGTAAAAAAATATGTAACTCGCGTTCAGACAGGTCAAATGCAACTCGTGTGTATAAATATGTAACTCGCGTGTATAAATATGTAACTTTACGTGTAAAAATATGTAACTTTACGTGTAAATATATGTAACTCGCGTTCAGGCATGTCAAATGCAACTCGTGTATATATATATGTAACTCGCTTATAAAAAGATGTAACTTGCTTATAAAAAGATGTAACTCGCTCATAAAAAGATGTAACTCAATGTATTATCAAATGTAACTGAGGTCACTGATCCACTCCCAAACAGATTCGATCTTCTATTTCACAAACCTATCATCTCCCAAACAGATTCGATTTTCCTTATAATCCAATACTCATTAATATAATAGTTCGATAATTTCTTAAAATTACATAAGCAATATTGGTCTCATTTGAAAGATCGTGAAAAATAAAAAATGTTGATATAAATTTTATAAAAATCGGATCAAAAATAAAAAAGTTATTATCATTTTTTAACAACAAAAGCAAAAAAAAAAAAAACTAGCATACTCCATGGTTTTGCAACCGGGCTCACCATCCTCATGGTGCGCCGGTTGCACAGTATAATTTGCCCTCTAGTGTCATAACGAATAAAACGATACATGATTTCACTTTTCTATTTTTGTTTATATTTTACTCTTGCTTTGAGCAATTTCTATGTATTGTTTATGTGGCATATCTCTCAATAACATATTACATCCGTCCCGTTGAAAGGTTCCCATAGCAAAACGGCACGATTATATAGACAATAATTAAATAAAGTAATTCGAGTATATTTTGAGAAATAATTTTAATAGGTATATATTATAATGTAGTCACTATTGATAACTGTGATGTTATAAATGTATTATTTTTAATATTTAATGATTAATTTATCACTTAAGATTGTTAATTATTTCTTAAAATGGAAATGAGAATCTTCTAACAAGACGTCCAAAAAAGGAAAGTATGAACTTTCTAATGGGATGGAGGGAGTAGTATTTTACATGGGAATGAAGTCAATGACCACATTGTGATTTGTGACAATGAACTATGATGATGAGTTATCTAAGACATACATATAGAACCTAAATCCCTAAAATTACTCTTCCTCAATCTCTAGCCTTCATAGTTTATTCACATGAAGGAACGTTTATAATTGGATCTCACATACTCTAGTTTTTGAAGTAACTAAATTATACGGAGTACCATCTTTCTAGTACATTTGTTAAATTCTGGATGTCAATCTTGTCGTCACTCCGTACCGTACGATTCAAAGGTAGGTTGTGCATGGTTCTGTAGCCTCGTAGGTGTCATTTTGTTCACAAAATAAATATTACTGCCTCCGTCCCATAATTAACTTCGGTTTTGACTAGGCACGGAGATTAAGATAGTGAGATTTGTGTGGTGGAGAGTTGTGCAGAGGAGAGAGAAATGTGTAAGAATGATTGTGAACCACATATTCTTTATCAAAAAGGGAAAGAGGAGATAAATTTGGGACGGACCGAAAAGGAAAGAATGAAGATAATTTCGGGACGGAGGGAGTATTACCTTTTCATTTCAATAAGTTTTTTGTACACATCAAAAAGTGTACACCCATATACATATCTCGTTGTCTTTATATATGCACGATTTTTTCCCATTATAAAAGGTGAATTGTCCATGCCACATACTATTTTTCTATTCCACATACTTTTTTTTATATGTGTGTCACACATTGATTTGATTTATCTAACAAGCCTGATTTGATCTGGTTTGGTCTGTTTAAGTTTGATATGATCTGCATTGATATGGTTTGGTCTGATCTGGTACATATTTGGTCTATGTTTATTTTATAATTGTGAAAGTCTGGTCTGATCTAGTCTGATTTGTTTAATCTTAGTAAGATCTTTTTAAGTCTACTATGGTTTATTCTAATCTACTATTATCCTCCGTATCTCATTAATTGCAACATTGGAATATATACACTATTCATGTAATTTACTTTGACTACATTTTATTTTTTGGATGAAATGTAAGTATATATTAACACCCAAGAAAATAACAAGTTAATGTTACAAAAAAAGTGCATATCCCAGTACATAGGATACCACAAAATCAAGCTTATCTATCACCCAAGTCAACACTATGACTCCAAAACCAACAAAAGGTTCAAAGCAAAAATCAAGCTATCACAACAGAAAATTAGGTATCCCTAATTTAAAGTCCAAAAAAAGCACGGAAAGGAATAGTGAACTCTGGGTCAAAACAAATCTCCCCTTTGTTTCTGGTAACTCCCGGCATCGCCTCGAGACATTTGGCCAAAAAAGTAAGGCCTCTCCCATCTAAATTGTTCGTAAGTCGAAGCTCAGTATCCACTCTAATCACACTCGCATGCACGAACTTAAAAGGTTTGACAGCCAAAATGAGTGTCTTACCTTTGGTGAACGCATATTTGACGACAACATCATTTAACTTCAGATCTTTTTCATGCATCAAGTACCTTTCCATATCTTCCAAAACGACCTCGTCAACTAACTCCTGGACAGATTTGGATCGGAAGACCCCTGTGCAGCTAGTGCAGACCCCTGGGCAGTTGTCGGCGAACGCAGAACGGTGGCAGCAGGTTGCGCACCCAAAACAGTCCCCTAGTCAACAATGTGGTCAATTTGTCTTTCCAATATACATTTTATTTATTAATGTATGTGAATTATTTGTTTTTGAAAAATGTTGTTAAATTCGTCTCATTACTAAGTTCTTTAATATGATTTTTATTTTATTTTTACTAATACAAAACTAAATATAATGACGGTCAAAGTTGTGTGTTGGCAAACGTGAAATGTTGACTGTTGCAACTAAAAAGAGACAGAAGAAGTATGAGATTGCAAGCCGTCCAAGTAAAAATATCCTCGGTAAGAATCTTGACATTCTTGTGGACCTTTTGTTGGTTTGGTAAAAGCAATTTGGGCTTTCAAAATATGAAATTATTGTTACGATTTAGGTTAATAAAACGATAAATTAAAGAGCAAGAACACAAGAATTTTACGTGGTTCACACAATCGGGGTGATTGTGCTAGTCCACGACGAACGAGAGAGAGAGCTGTTTTATTATTAGGTCTGCGTCAAGGGGTATTACAACATACAAGATATGCTTAAATAGGTTTAAGAAAACCTAAACAAAGATTAGAGCCGCAGGCCCAAAAAATTAAGCACGTAATTAAAATTAACCCTTAGACCCGGTCGGGTCTCCTATTTGACCCGGTCGGGTAACTCCTCAGCAAGCATGCTCGGGTTGAGACCAGGGCGGGTAACCAAAGCAGAAAGGTAGAAACTCCACTGGCCCGGTCGGGTCCCCTTCTTGACCCGGTCGGGTGTCGCCTCAAAAGGCATACCCGGGTAGACACCAGGTCGGGTATGCTAAACAGAAGCCAAAACCTTCCACGGACCCGGTCGGGTAAACCTCCTTACCCGATCGGGTTTCCCAATCCAGAGAGTTGCCCGGCCAAATTCAAATCATACCCGGTCGGGTGACTGACCCCACCCGGTCGGGTATCTTCAGCTGCTGCACAAACAAGG